TTAAAAACATGTAATAGTTTGCCAGGTATGTGCCTTGTGTGTCTGTGAACGGTCTTAAGTGTAATATGAACATCTTAATTTATTAAAAGACTCCACGTTTTCAGGTGGAGGTTGCAATTTGAATAGCCTTATTTAATACTTTTTTTTTCCTCCTAATTTTGGAAGAAACTCTTGAATCCAGGCAGCTCACAGAACAGATGATGACCTCAGCTGAGCCCCTGTGGGATGATGGATTATGAGTGGTATTTGAAACTGGCAGTAGAACTCATTGTACATGAGAACTGTCAGAAACATCAGCTAATTATTGTTTGCTTCCTTTTCCTCAGAAATCTGAAGACACCTACCTTTTGTGCTGTATCTTTCAAAAGCAACATATTAAAATCCAAGAACATAGCTGTCTCAACTGTAAGTACCTCCTAATATGTTAAAGTAATTAAAAAAATGTGTTCTACTTTGTCTGCTGTCACTCAGAGATCAGAGGTGATAGAACTCTCACATTTTCACAGCTATGCAAATGAAACTAGAAGGATCCGATCCTGACACCTATTTTAAACAGAATTTACAAAGAAGCCTCCAAATTGCAATGTAGAGCCTTTTAAGCTCAGCCATTTATCAGTCACTTCAGATGTGGTAACACTGCTTCTCACTGCTGCTCGGCACAGTCAGTTACCTCATACTGACCTCCATTCTGCCAATTACTAGGCTTCTATTCGGTACCTAAGTTGGCTAACATTTATACTAGCTTGGGTATCCCCACATGTCATGGCAGTCACAGAGATAACGACAGAGCAGACATACCCTTTGCCTAGGAGTCAATTCATGAAGTTCCAGTGGGACGATACGTGGCACAGGGTGCTACTCCATGGGAGGATGGATGGACAGTCCCTCAGAGGCTTGAAGCGCATGCAGTCTGTCAAAGTGCTGTGGGATGTTAAGGCTGTACAAGCACTGTTCTGGCATGGAAAAGATGCTATTGCTTCAACTTTGAACATCAACAGTAAATGTCTGGCTGTGGTGAAAGCACAAATAACTTGTCATTTTAATTTTTCCAGAATTTTACTTGTACTCTGTGCCTGGGGTTAAAAAAGAAAGGAAGGTAAAACAGCTATGCACTGAACCTAGTTGTTCAGTGTGGTATTTATTCTCACATTTGTTAAATGTCTAGGAAAGCTATTCTCTAGAGCTCCTGCCCTTTTTCTGCCCCAACCACAGTTCATTCAAATTTGCTTTAATAGTAACTTCAGTAGGGCGTTCTTCTTTCAAACAGATGCTTCAAAACTGCTTAGTTTAAACACTGCCTGCAGAACACCCTGCAGTTGTTCTCTGAAAAACAGATGTGATCTTAAAAAAAAAAAAAAAGAGAGAGAGAGAGGGGGTAGAATATTTTGGCCTGTGTGTTTTGTGTATTTCTCATGGGTCTATATCTATAGAGAATATTTTCTGAGGAGGAAAGTTTTTTGTATCTTTATGCATCAAGCAAACAAAGGACTTCCACTTCACGATCTTCAGACATTCTGATACAGCATAAAAAGCAACGAATAAAGATCCTAAATCCCAAATTTAACTATGCAGAATTAAAACCATAGTGACATTTTAAAGGTTTATAAGCTAAAATGCTTTTGAAAATCATCATCAAGGACCCAAACAGTTCAACTTTCCCTTTGAATGTTACTGTCAGTCTCAACTAGACACATTTCTCCGTTTAGCTTTCTCACAACATTTACCTACTGTACTTGCCAGCATGTTTTGCCAAATTAGAAAAACTTCTGCTGCTGAAACCATCTGCTTGACATTGCTTACATATAATAAAGTATCACTCAATTCAATGTATTGGAAATGTTTAGAGGTCTTTACATGGGAACCAAAATCAGCAGTGCTGACTCAGGCAGATCTCCCACTGATGTTGGTGGGAATTGTACCTGAATGAGTACTGCTGGATCTGATACAAAGCTTGCTGCACAGGGATTGCCACTGAGTGATGTGAGAACATATGGTTCTAGTTTAACAATACCAACTGAAACAAAAATGAGAAGGAAATTTCATAGTATTTCTGGCTTGCTGCTTTTTTATAACTATCAGGAATACTCAAATGATTCATACATACCTGTTTCTGTAACCTTTTTCCCAGATTCAAGTGAACATTCAGAAACTACTGCAAAGTTAGATCCTACCTCAACAAGAACAGTTCGAGTCAATCTAAAGAGATAAAGACTTAAACACGAGAAAAACTACATGTAAAGTGTAAAATCAAAGTTTAGAGTTCTCGACAGACAGTGTTATATTACCTATGGATAAGAGTGTAGACATTTTAGCATATTTTCCTTGGTCCAGTCTGAAGCAAAAATAAATCCTTCTTAGTACTGGTTTTACCACCCAAGTGGTAAGGAAATGCATATGATGGCTGCTGCTATACCAAAAGACAATGGCTTCTCAAATTTGACCACAAATTGAGGTGTTATAAAATTACAGTTTCAGCAAGCCTAAAAGCTAAGAGTGGAACCTAACTACAAAATATCACTGACATTATTATGCTTGTAAATTGTGACTGCAGAAGCACCATCTCCAAGTGATTAAATCAAGCCTCCTTCCCACCCCCCACAACAGTTGAAAAAAGATGAAGAAAAGCAATACTGGAAAAATAATGGAAGAGAAGCCGTAATACGTGTATCCAAAAGTTCACATCCATAATGTTAACCTAAGGGATCCCGCACCCTCAACACTGCCTAGGAGAGGGCATTTTGGGAGAGACCCAAAGAGCAGGTGAAACACTTCCTATTGTAATCCACTAATTAGCATGTGCCAGTCACAAAGGATGCAATTTAGTTACAGCTCCCAGAGCTGTGCCCTTTCTTTAAATACCACAACAGCAATTCATGTGTTTTGTTCTAAAGAATTTGTTAGTCTTAGCGTATCAGTCATGGGGACACTTCCAGGCCATGGCTAGAAGAACCATACTCCTCATGCCCGTACACAAGGACCTAAATGCTGAAAATTATTGCAGCTATTGCCTATGTTTCTTTGTGAGATGAAAGCTAAAAGTAGCTGGAAATTAAAAATACAGATGCAGGATAGGTCTTACTGCAAATCTCAAATTAGTGCAGCTTTATAAAAAGTAATCATTCCCTCTGTTAGATACCTGAGGGTAGGTATCTTGGGTAGGTATATTGCAACAGCTAGGCTTGAAGGATAGAGGGAATTACAAGTTTCAAGTGTATGGGTTGAGTAATTATAATTTAGGATTTGACCTCTGTTTTGAGTAAAAAAGTCAATATATTATTCCATATTGCCACCTTACAAATTATTGCTTAATACATTCCCAGAGCAGACAATAAACAGTGTTTGCATTCTGCTAAAGCGAGCCTTGAGAATCAATGAAAAGAATATACCACCCAGGCTGGCATTCAGCAAGACGGTGAACCTTCTCTTTTTCAGTATTTTTTATGAGAAGACATTCTGATTACTTGTTCAGCCTCACTGCTTGATTCAGTCTTAGCAGTACAATTTATTTATGGAGGGATGGTTAGCAGGAATACTGAAGCACCATGAATTTTCTCCATGGCGTATCCTCTTCTACAGAACCGATGACTTCCGTGGACCTGGAAGACCAAACTGAAGCAACTTTGACCTCTGAAAATAGGGCCCTAATCCCATGTCAAGGGGTGGATCTCTTCTCCACAGCATCACAACAGTGCAACTAGGGAGCAGTAAAAGGATAAAACTAGTGCTTCTGGAAGACAATTACATGTTGGAAAAAAATGTTCAAATGTTAAAATAAGGACACTTGGATTTAACATTGGCAGCATGTTTTCCTTTAAAAGTTTAGAGGAATGATCACAGAAGAGGCACCAACTGAAGTTCCAAATCCAGTTGTAAAATAACTAGGGTGATTAGCGTACAGAGATGCCATTGATTTGTCTCATGATACTAGTTCACACTTAACTGTCACATTAAAAAGGTTTCGGCCTGTGTCAAGGTAAAAAACAGAGGAGAAAAGACAATACTTCAACAGTTGTGTCAAGTTATTAAAAGCAACATGAAGTCTAGTTATAAACAGTAAAGCACTGATTTTAGGAAGTACTTACCTAAAATGAATTTCAATGGAGGAAAAATAAGGTCTACCAGGATAACTATGCCAGTCCTATATCAGCTGCTTACCTTGCTTATGAATGATCACTTGACACAGCTAACTTTTTCATTTGGGTGAGTTAGCATCTCTTTATATCTGCTCCTTCCTATGTACCTAGCGAGACAAAAGGTTTAAATTACACAAAGTGGGAAAAGTAAGAAGCCTAGAGCACAGGAGTAATTTCTTCCCCTTTGCAACACTAAGGTGAGGAATACAGTATGTGTCTCTGGTTCTAAAGGAATGCAAGTCCAAAAGTTAATTGACGCTGAAATAGGCATGCATGGTTAAGCCCAGAGGAGCAAATATTTGTTAGTCCATTTATAACATCCCTAAGCTACCTTGCCCTTCTTGCTTCCGCTTGTGCTGTATCTTGTTTATCTCATGTTTCTGTTTTCTGATTGAATCTGTAATTCTTCTTCTTAGTGTGACTGAGAAAAGGGCAACCAAGTGCATTTCAGTGCTTTTGCCCATTTCACCAGTGCACAGTGGTCACATTTCAGCTTACCTCAAGCAGGTCGACCTAAACCTTTAACGCATTGCTCTGGACAGAGTGAGTCTCAAAGCGCAACTTAGCCCACAACTGCAGTCTTTAAAAATTTAGAGGACTCTGGCCAGAAATGTGTAAAAAGCATAAGTTTAGACTATAAGTATATTCAGAGTTAGTGGGATACATGAGGAACAGGACATTATGTTGCCCGAGATGTCACCATCTTCACGCACACATGAACTCAAAGCAGCAATTCCAAAGCAGCGTTGGAAAGAAGCATTTGCAAAGCTGCAGGAGGAACTGAACTTCAGTTCTGTATGCACTGCTATGTATAATTAACACTTCACCAAAGGAGACACAAGTTTTATTTTGGACAGTAGACTTTATTAGAAATTTTCTCCTCATTCATCAGTAAATTCACATTAAAATAATGCTGAAGGCAGCTCAGTCTAAACATTTGACATCCTGCCACAACAACAACTTCCAGTTTAAAAACTAGATAACTGATCAGGCAGATAACTTGAAACATGTAAGAAATGCAAATAGAAAGCAGCATCTTAAAAATGGGATGAGCCTGAAAAAGTAATACATTTCAGGTGGAGCTGGAGAAAACAAAAACAAATCAGTCCCCCAAAGATGGGAAACAGTTACATGAGAACTCCACAGACTCTAAACAGATAAATAAACATTATGACCACACATACATTAAAGAGAGAACCAAGTATTTAGAGTTCATACCACATAAAAATTATAAATTTGTTCAAATAAAAAAGTGACAAGCTTTCTAAAATACGAATATCCTAAAATCTTGGGATAGTGAACACTTTGTTATAAACTGCAGAACTTTGGAGGGATAAGATTTGGTCTTGAAAACAATGGACTGCTTCTTACTGTTACCATAGCCAAAAATTGATCTTTCAGGCTTTCCTCTCATGTTTTTAAATCATACATTCTCCTTCTAGATGATAATCTCTCTCTCTCACCTTTTTTTTTTTTTTTTTAAAATGTTAAGATTTTAAAATATTTTAGGCCTGATGATGGCGAACGCTGAACATTCAAAGCTCTTAACAACTCTGGAAACCAAAGTCAGAGTTTAAACATTTTTCAGAATTCACCTATGGAGATTTATTCCATTGCTAATTTATTATAAGGGGTGCGTGTGTGTGTATGTGTAGGGGAGAGAGGGAGAAAAATCACGCTACTGAAGAACGCTCTGTCCTGCACGAGAAGGAATCTCGCAGGCCAGATTTTCTGTTGGCGTTTACCAGAGTCAAAAAAGATAAACCGCTATATACCAGCTGAGGATAACGGCCTTCAGGACTGTAAACAGAATAGGCAACAGAGAGCATATGAATCTAGATCAAATCAACGCTTTCACATTCTTGAGTAATCCCCCCACAGTGATCTGCTATCACTGGTTCAGAAAAAAATATATATATTAAAAATTAAATAACACTTAAGTGTCCATCATGAAGATTAATATTTTGTTGTAAACAATTTTCTGCCATTTGCATTGATTTAGTCCAATGTGAGGCCAGAGGGATCTAGACGTCCTACTGATACTGTAAATAATTTTTCAGAGACAGAGGCAAAGGTAGAATTTCTATGTCATGCAGGCGGTCTCTGCCAAGAGCAAAACGAATTGATCTTCGGCACAAGTCCATTAAAGGCAGGGGTTCCGCTGAAAAAAATGGAAGAAAAAAATAATGGTTAATTTTTCAGCATCTCCACTTACAGTCAGTGTTTTATTTATTATTAACATAGAGTCTGTATTGTATTAAGCAGTCAAAAAGATAGCAATGGTATTGTGGAAAACAAATAAAATAAAAGATGACCTTGAGGTAGCTAAGATCATTTATCAATAGCAGCAGAGACAGAATTTTGTTTTACACATGTAAGAAACGAGTGCAAAGTTTCAGATTGAGTTTCCTTATCTATAAAGCTTAAAATAATCCAGAACCACTCTCAAGAGTCCTACAGTTGCAGCGTAACAGGTTCTTGCATTTCCAGATTTGTAACAAGAGAAAGAGCTTCTACTCTGTTTATAACACGACATTCTTCATGTTTTGTTAAAATGAACCAAACTAGCAACTTCTGACCCTTACATACCAGCTCCTTCTGTGTCTTAGAAACTGGAAATGGTGCTTATGGGTAACCAAACGTCTCAGCAAACACTGCTTTTCCCATAACACTTTCTTAGCCTTTCTTCTAGGAAGGCTTTGTCTTTTACAGGAAGACAAAAAAAAAAAAGAAAAAAAACCCTTCAAAAATCTATGGGAAATCTAACCTTTTCCCCCAAGAATAAACTAGGGGAAAAGGATTTAGCTGACCAGAGGGCACTTCGTGCGTGAGTATGTTCTGATATATACACAAACACCTCCAAAACATATAAACATCCCTTGATGCTCTGAGTTTAATTTAATAGGAATGAATTAAGTATCAGAAATGCCTGACTGCTAGCACTTACAGTTTGAGACTCTCAGTAATCAGCAGCGTCTCAAACCACCTCACGCCTACATCCTACCCTGATCTGCAAGAATCGCACAGAACTGCAGGAAGATCATCACATTTCCATCCAAAAGCATGGACGATCCCATGACTGCAGCATTTGTAATGGACGGCTTTATGCAACAGCAGCTGCAGTAAAGCCTTAAAGTCTCTGCCCAGTTGCATTGACCTTGAGGAACAGCTTTAATTAGATGGATTAGGTTGTACTCGTTGGTGTAAAAGGATAACAGCTGTAAAGACCACAGAAAACAATCTTCACAGAATGAAATCCTTTATCAGTAGCCTTTAAAATCACAGTAAGATTTTCAAACGCGAGAAAAAAAATCCCTCTCATGCCTATATCATAGTGCTAACTTTTTATAAACTTGACAGATTACTTAAAAGCCCTCAGCACTGAACAACTCTCAGTGGTTTTGGCAAGAGCTCTTGCATGTACCACATATGTAGATTTACACATACTACATATTAATCTACCAATCCTTTAGCTAACACATGATTTAAAAATTTACTTACAAAAACCATTACAGAGCACAAAATACCAGATTTAAGACAAGAAAAGTTTGTTGTTTTTTTTTTTTTTTACATTAAAATTGTTTGCTCTGGTGACACAAGACTGACTTCACGGATTTTCAGTCACTTATCCCAGTATTGCGTTTGATTTGTACAGTCCACAGGGCAGTACAGTGTTTCCCAAAACCGTACAGTGAAAAGAGTTAGCGTTCTGGGGTATGCTGAGACACTGAAAATGATATTTAACTTTATAACCACTTCAGTGACTCAGGGTATGGACTCCACTTCTCCATAAAGTTCACTTCTACTCCATTAAGAATTCCAGCTATCAAAAGGTTAAAAAAATAATTCTAACATTCCAATAACAAAGTAAAATTTTCTATACATTGATGCAGTCAATTTTCATTTTTACATACCAGACTTACAGACATCACATTTTAGGGGGAGGTGAAGCTGTAAAATCCATTCACCAGGATGAATAAGTAGGAGTAAAAGTAGCTCTTGACTTCCAAGACACAGAATACAACACATCCTACAGCTCTTACACTATAAACAACAATTTTCTGAGTATCTTCCCATAGTCTCTGAGGTCCCATAAAGAAGATGTAAAATAAAGATTAACAGTGTTTTATGCCATTAACTGATCACGTGGTCTCGTTTTCTCCTAGACAAAGCAATATGCAAAATGCAGCCCATCTGTGCAATTGTTCAGCCAGGCCGAGTGAATCCTAAACTTTAAAATATAATTTAAGGAATGGTTAAAATATCTTTGAAGTTTGAAATGCTAAATTAGTATCTCCTTTCTTACTCACCTCCACAGGGAATTTACAAACGCTATAGAAAACATCCCTAAGTGTTGGTAGCAGCTGCTAAATTATAAGTACTGATTATGTTTTGCAACTTGAAAATTTAACTATACTCTTTTTATTCTCCCTCTCTATCCAGCAGCAAATCAAACTTACAGCAAAATTAGAACAGATTTGGGCTATAATATGAACAAAAGTTATGTTTCCGGAGGGCTGGCTTAGGAGCTTGAAGAAAAATATAACCATAGCACTTTAAGTAAAAACTTTGCAGCTGTGGATAGTCCTAAGTAATAAAAAAATACGTCCAGGAAAAAATACCACCTTAGGTTTCAAAATGGTTTCTGTGATAAATGCAGAACTTTACAACTCCGACTGAAAATTACCAAGCAGCCTAACCGAACAGAACCATTACTGAACACTTGCTATATATCCTAATGCGCTCTCCCATTCATCACATCTCCCTGTTTTTACTGCGTGTTTTACAAATGAGGATTATTTGGAAAAAGGCTTAGGCAGGTTATTAAGAAGTGGAAGTCAGGCTCTGAAATCTGGGTGAATTCCAGGGGCTGCTGTTTGTATCAATACAGGGAAAGCGCAGGCAAAAGCGGGTATGGAGATGGTGCAAACCCGTCCACGGACCCGTGCACCTGCGAGGGCTTGTGAACGCCAGCGTCCGGCAGCATCCCCGCAGCCTTCTGCTGCTGCGTGGGGAGGCGAGTTCAGGCGCGCACGGGGCCCCAGCCCAGCAGGCCCACCTCAGCCTCCTGCGGGTCACTCACACAGGGCAGGTACCAACATCCCCCCCAGCCCGGCTGTGCCACGGCCCCACTGCGCTGCGAGCGGATCAACAGCTCCGACGCGTTTCCCACGTTGCAACCCAGGGCGGCGGGAGTTAGGCTCCCATTAGCACCCCGCGCCACCGAGGCACGGGGCTGCTGCAAAAGCAGGTTGCCGCTCATCAGCTCGAGCAGCAGAACTGGCTCTTTCACACACACACCAAAATTGTTTCAGGTTTCCATGGAAATTCAGTCAGATACAAAAATTCAGAAGTATTACAAATAACTTGCTCCTTTTGGAAAGGAAAAGTTAAACCACCCTAAGTATATATTGCAAAGTACCCCATCTAAAATGCACATACAGGCTTTATAGATCCAAAACATTCAGAAGCCCTAAAAGTATTTCCAAAATGAGATTTTCATTTGACATTATAAGGATTATTGAGATCTTACAAAAAATGCTGAGAAGAGAACGTTCTAATGACGGAAGAGATGAATACTCTGAAACCATAAGCTCACCTGTAAATTTAACTATTGAATAAACAGCTTCCTTTCAGAACATTAAATATTTACCTTTGAGAAAGAAAAACATCTAGATTCAAAGGTATTAACTAATCGATGCCTCAGTCAAGGGCATAAAATGATGAATTAGAATATCATAGTATGTAATATACCTAAAACACATTACTTTTCTGCTCTAGTTAATTTTTTTTATTATTATTTTTACAATAAACCACAATGGAATGAAATTAGACCAGCTCAAGCCCTCCAGAAGAATCTGTATCCAGCAATTTGAGTGGAGTTATATGAACTCCAGTAACAGTCTATCAATTAAAGAAAAAGAAACGAACTGCTAAGCTGAAGTACAAAATTGTAAAGAAAACACGATTCACAAGAATGGCTCTTTGTATCGAATTCCCAGCCAGGCCAAGAGACTCGGAGTGAGCTATTCGAGCGCAAGGCAGCAAGCTTTTCGCAGGAAACGCGCTGTTTCCGTTCAGGCTCCAGCAGAAGTTGGCGGAGGTGGTGCGTGCGTGTCTACGGCTCTTCTGGTCATACCTGGGGCCGAACCTCACTCCAAAGCCCTGCCGGGCTTCTGCACGTGTTTTCAGGAATCTTCTCCTCCTTGATGTTTGTTAGAAAAGCCTTCCACCCAGAAGTAGCTTCTCAGAGCTGTCACATTACAGAAGACTATTCTTCAGGAGAATAAAATAGTAAAAAAATAATACTGCTCAATTCCCTTATCTCCCATTTTTGTACCAGCAGTTTTCAAGAAAACTTTTGCTTCCATTCCTCCTCAGAAGTGTATCTAAAATACACTCTCCATGGGTCAAAGTAAAGAGTATTCGGTTGGTAAATCTTCCTTTTCCTACACTACGATTACATGCACTACACCACTTGAAACTGAGCTTGTGGGAACAAATGCAACAGTACTCTACTCGTTCAGAGGTACATTTGACCAAACTGCACGAAATATCTCAGCTTTAACTGTAACATGCCGTGAGAGAGATGTATAACGTTATACAGAGATGTAAGTTTTAATAGCATTACCAATGGGTTAAGAGCAAAAGCAAAACAAGGCTTGTAACTAGACACAACTGCGCTTGCAAGCGTTTCTCCAATAAGTATGCATACGCAACAGCAATTCTCACATCATTACAGGCTGACAAATTCATTTAGTTTTGGCAACCTGAGGTTATTTAAAAATCTGACACTCTAACAAGAATTCCTCATCTTTGTAAATATGCATTTATAATGAAGACACTGCTCAACTCATCTAGCATCCAATCACATTAAACATTAACTGCAACGTTGCATAATGCTTGTACAAAAGAACAACTCGTAGCACATGACAATTATCTGCCAAATGACAACACTCATTTTTGAAAGGAATCTTTAAAGCTATAAGAATATGTAATATTGTTTAAGGTTCATGGCTTTCATTAAACTACAAACTTATTTTTAATCTTATTTTAGAACAATTTCTAATTGTCTACAAAAAACATCAAAGCAAAATTAAAGCTGGCTGAAAAAAATGAAGCAATCTTGTGAAAATCACTTCTTACCAAAACATTAAGGAG